TTTTTTTTTTTTTTTTTGTATATGTCTTTTATGTCCCTGGTTAGATTTAGTCCTAAGTATTTTATCTTTTAGGGGGCTATTGTGTATGGTATTGATTTCCTTTTCAAAGTTCTCTTTGTTGGTGTAAAGGAATCCAACTAATTTTTATATGTTAATCTTGTGTCCTGCTACTTTACTGAAACCTTCTATTAGTTCCATTAGCTTTTTTGTAAATTCTTTGGGGTTTTCTTTGTATAGGATAATATCATCTGCGAATAGGGAGAGTTTTACCTCTTCTTTACCAATGTGGATGCTCTTTATTTCTCTTGTCTTATTGCTCTAGCTTCCAGCACAATTTTGAATAAGAGTGGTGATAAAGGCCATACTTGTCTGGTTCCCTTTCTCAAGGGGAATGCTTTCAGTCCCTCTCCATTAGAATGATGTTGGCTGTTGGTTTAGTAGAAATGCCTTTTATTATGTTGAGAAATTTCCCTTCTATTCCTATTTTGCTGAGGGTTTTATAAGGAATGGGTGGTGGACTTTGTCAAATGCTTTTTCTGCATCAATTGAGATGATCATGTGATTCTTTTGTTTTATTTATGTGGTGGACTACGTAGTTTGATTTTCTAATGTCGAACCATCCTTGCATAACTGGTATGAATCCCACTTGGTCATGATGTATTATTTCTTTGATATGCTGTTGAATTCTAGTGGCTAGAATTTTGTTGAGAATTTTTGCATCTATATTCATGAACGATATTAGTCTGTAATTTTTTGTTGTTGTTGTTATGCTGGCTTCATAGAATGAGTTCAGGAGTATTTCTTTCTTTTGTATGCGCTGAAATAGTTTGAGTAGTATTGGCATTAGGTCTTCTCTGAACGTTTGGTAGAATTCCTCAGTGAAGCCGTCTGGGCCAGGGCTTTTTTTTTTGGGTGGGGGGCGGGGGGTTTATTACCTCTTCAATCTTTTCTTTTGTTATGGGTCTGTTTAGTTTTTCTGCCTCTCTTTGTGTTCATTTAGGAAGGTAGTGTGTTTCTAGAAATTTGTCCATTTCCTATAAGTTTTCAAGTTTGTTGGAGTATGCTTTTTCATAGTATTCTGTTATATCCTTTTTTATTTCAGTTGGGTCTGTTGTAATGTCCCCCATTTCATTTCTTACTTGGGTTATTTGCTTCCTCTCCTGGTTTTCTCTTGTCAGTTTGGCCAATGATTTGTTGATTTCGTTGATCCTTTCAAGGATCGAACTCCTGGTTTTGTTGATTCTTTCTATTGTTTTTCTGTTCCCTATTTCATTTATTTCTGCTCTAATCTTTATTATTTCATTTCTTCTGGTGACTATGGGCTTCTTTTGCTGCTCTATTTGTATTTGATGAGTTGTAGGTTAATGTTTTGATTTTGGCCCTTCTATTTTTAAAAAAAATTTTATTGTGTTTTAGGTGAAAGTTTACAGCTCAAGTTATTTTCTCGTTCAAAAATTTATATACATATTGTTTTGTAACATTGGTTGCAATACCCACAATGTGACAGCATGCTCTGCCTTTCCACCCTGGGTTCCTTGTGTCCATTCATCCAGTTCCTGTGTCTTCTTGTCTTCTTGTCTTGCCTTTGAGCAGGAGTTGCCCATTTGGTCTTGTATATTGAATTGAACTAAAAAGTACATTCCTCACGTGTGTTATTTTTTGTTTTACAGGCATGTCTAATCTTTGTCTGAAAAGTGGGATTTTGGAATGCTTTCAGTTCTGGTTAGCAGAGCGTCCAGGTGCTATAGTCTCGGGAGTTCTCTAATCTCTGTCAAACCAGTAAGTCTAGTCTTTTTTTTCTTGAATTTCAGTTCTGTTCTACATTTTTCTCCCATTCTGTTTTGGACTCCCTGTTGTGATCTCTGTCAGAGCAGTCTTTGGTGGTAGCTGGACACCATCTAGTTCTTCTGGTCTCAGGCTGGTGGAGTCTCTGGTTCATGTGGTCCTTTAGTCCTTTGGGCTAATATTTTCCTTGTGTTTTTGGCTTTCTTTATTCTCCTTTGCTCCAGACAGGATGGGATCAATAGATGTATCTTAGA